TTTTCGTATTTTTCTCAGCCTCTTCCTATAATCGTATTTTGTTTTGTAAATTGCGATGCGATGGTTCGACGTTACTATATATTTTTTTTAATTTTTTGAACGATGGAAGGATTCACAAAAAAAACTAATGTTATTTTTAAGAACTGTGTTGCAATATTTTATGGAGAGATAAACAGAGGTACATGCTTTGTTAAAGAAGATTTTAATATACATCTTTTTTTAATGGAATACCCTGTATTTTATTACTGCATCTTACACTATATTTTGTTCTTTTAATATATCCCAGTTAAAAAAGTAAAAATTCACAACAACTGTCAGTTTTTTATATTTTATATATAGATAATACTTAACAAAAAACAAAATATTTTACTCTCTACTAATGCAATTTTATTTAAACCACAGCAAAGTGATTATCTTTATTTATCTTTCCACAAAATATTGTACACCAAATTAAAAAAAAAACCTACTGCAACTTTTTTTTGTAAAACCTATTGCCAGAAAATTTCAAGAAAAGCGAAATAACTTGGCAACATCGCATTGGAACATCGAAAACAAATAGGGTTTTTAGCCCTAAGAAAAAAACAATCAGAATATAGGGCATTCTATTTGAAAAAAATAAGTTCTATGTTTCACCTTAAAAACAGAACACTCTTTAGTCTTAAACTTTTTTCTAGGTCTATTAATTATAATTATCAAGGAGCCCGTGCTTGGTGTATATAGTCAGTCTTTGAGGAATATCGTGTTGATAGTAAAATAGTAGCTCAAAAGTTTTTCTGATCATCCCGACCAACAATTTAATGACATCTCAAAATTTTGTATAGCATAGTACGATCACTGAAAATACATATCTACTAAAAAAATATAACTTAAATTAAAAAACCGAACCTTCAAAACTCTAAAAACATAAATTATGCTGGGACGACCGCCAGAGACCATCTGCTTGGGGCAGCACAGGGCCGTATTTATTTATAACCAACGAAACCTCGTGATTTTCGATGCAACAGCTACTTGGTAATTTCTGTAATAAATTTTGTTAGAAAAAATCAAACGATTTTATTGAGTATTATGTTATATTTGATAAAACCAGTAATCCAACAATAAAGCAAATTATTTAATCGTTTTGTCCATTGTTGTTGAATTCGGCAGGTATTACGTGACGGTTTATAAGTTTACAAGGATCTTAATGCGTAACGCCCGTTCAGTACTGTCAACCAAATAATTCTAATTAATAAATAATATACTTCAGCACTTGTGGTTTATGAATTCAACTTGATTTTTTTCCCTAAAATAACCAGATTTCTGGAGAAAAATCAAAATTTTATACTTAACTCACTTGACATATACCTTGGTAAAACTTGTATGACTTAAGCGGGTTAAGCCAGATCGCCCTTATAAGGTCAAGTATATGTATATTTTTTACTATAGTTAGTTAGTAATATAGTGTTTTGATGAGTTAACTACAGTTTAACTTTTATAGATTTTGAAAAACCCAGCACAGCGGGGTGTCACAAATTCGCTTTCCTGAGAAAACCGTAGAAGTACGGCATATCTCTTTGACGGTGGCACGTTCCGGGGTTTGCAGCTGTCGAATTTAATGGAGGATCTGTCGTAAAATATTTAAAACGTCAAAGCCATAGACGCACTATATTTTGGAGGTCATTATACCGAATACCACTTTACTATTTAACTTAAAAACTGGAAAACGTAATGCTTTGAAATCTTGCAAACGCTTTAAAGTTTTCGTAAACCCTTAACTAAAGCATAATTCCAATTAAAATCATCGAACCCGAGACAAGAGCTTCTACATAACCCCCTCAAAAACTTTAAAACATCATCTCCAAATTTTGCTGCAAATCCTCTCTAAAATGTGCAAAATATGATGACTATATTTGTGGTTTATCAATACATATACTCATATTTTTCACAATTGGTTATACAAGATCGATGACTCAAACAAATTGCCGAATGAAGCAGTTTATTTTTTTCATAAGGAACTGGTTTTGATTGATTGTACTTCAGAGACTGCAGAACTTTTGTCCAAATAACTTTTTAATTGTTTCGCCCTCGTTCTGTTGTTACAGCAGTTGTTGCTGATTAACGCAGCGCTAACGTAACTATCAGTACTTTTGATGAACGCTGCAATTATAAAAATCATTAGCTGTTAATTGTGGGTTTTAACGTCATACTTAATTTTGTTAAAAAGTAAGTAAAAGTAGCTTGAAAAAATTTCGTACTAAAGTTAAAATACTCGGTAGAGTTTTTTTTCAGTTGATAATAAATCTGTAATAATGTTATTTATTAGGCCATCACTACTGCGAAGAAAAGCTAAGAACACGTACTCTACCTTTACACATTTGTGTCACTATTATTTTTAAGTTAATAATCATTTAAAACACAAAACACAACATTTTTCTTAAAATGTTATGGTCAAAATCGGAAAGTATTTTGTACCTGCATATCGTTCATCCTAGGATTAATAAATTTGCAAAAATTATAAAGACATACTCGTATCATACTGTGTCAAAGTTGAATTAATATTTCAAAAAAATATTGATATTTTTGTATATAACTAAACTCACTATTTTTGGGTCCTTTTAAATTTTACAACTTTAATCTTAAAGCTCTGACCAACAAGTAAAGTCTCCCAAATACTTACTACAAGGTTATATGGCTGTTGTAAAATTAGGGTATTGTGAAGACGACAATGGAGCAGTTAATAAGGCAAACCCGCAGTTGTACATACAACTTACCCAGCAGTAGATGTTGAGGTGGCAAGATATTGAGACAAATCCTTGATTTATGACGCTAGGCTTGAGCAGGTAGCCAGCCGCATAAAAGGAATTACAGCATCCCATTATTAAGTTTAGAGGGGCCATATAGCCTTGTAGTATTTGGGAGACTATAATTTCTTATATACAACCTTGTAATTCATGTAAATTTCAAAACGGCACACGTCTGCTGTCGTTGCTTTGACGAAGGCTCCGAGCGCCTAGGTTGTTAAGGCATTAATCGTCTAATAGAGCCCAAGTGATCATAAAATTTTATTAAAACCCAAAAATAGTGAATTTGGTATATTCAGTTAACATCAACTTAGAAAAACGATACAAAAATATAGTAAAGTAAGTAGTAATCTTCTGCTCATTTAGGGATTTAACTTGTAAAGATAATTGCGACGATAATCAGTAAAGTAGCTTCTGCAACAAAACATACAGTATGAAAATCTGAAATTCTGAAAAATTTGGGAATACAATATTGTTATCATTATATTGCACCGCACCTATCCAAAGTGATATAGGTGTCTTTGCAAAAATGTTGATGATGGCATCACAAAATTTTGTCAAAGGAAAACTCAAATTCTCATAATCAAATTTTATAATTTTTCGAAAAACCTGGATTTGTTTTATTACAGTACAGGGACGAGCGAAGTTCTGTCGAAATAACCTTCGACCAATTCTTTCTACAGGTAATAATTTTCTAAAACTTTTTATAAATCAAATTACCAGTAAATATAGATGCGTATAGCAGATACAATGAATACAACCCAGGTATAAAATTCTTTAAAAAAAACTGCCTGAAGATAAAATATCAAATGAATCTGCCAATCAATAAGAGCGCGCTTCTTAATATTACATTAATTTACTAGAAATACAAACAAGGGCAACAGCGAAAGTCCTACGGTTTATTGAGCAGCATAACCCAAAAAAAATATTTTCAGCTATATAATACGTGTTTCCACCGAATCTTTTCTTAGACTTATTAATAAGTACCTATATCTTATTTTTGAACTTTTTGAATAAAAATCGCTTTAAAATCATTTTAAAAATGTAGGTTGCAATATTTTATGGACATATAAAAAAAAGGTATGTCCTCTACTGTAATAATCAAAGTAATTTTAGTACTCAGCCTGAAATGTTGCAATTTATATCATCACATATCTTAGTTTTTTTTTAGATTTTTTTATAAACACTGAGTATACTGAGACATAATTTTTATGAATACTAAAAGAAAGTATATACTTTTGTTTCTAATGAGATTTTTGCAAAAATTTACCTATAGTTATTCAGAATTAACAAATTCATTACATTTACACTTTTACGTTGTGTGAGAATCAATAGCATCTGGATACAAAATCAGATTGTCATCTGTACGGCATTTATGTGAGCTTGACTACATTATCTTATTTCATCCTAATTCTCTTGTTAAATATATATCTTAAACACGGTTTACACCAAAGAAGTTGGAAAGTGTTTCCATTTGTATACATGTATAATGCAAGTCCCAGAAAAGATATTGGAGAAAAACATTGTTATACGTTATACATCTTAGTTTCTAACACAGTGAAAAGGGTTTCATTTACCAAATTTCGAAGAATATTGTACGTAAATTTCAACGTGGTAATATTTTTAACAACTTCCGCTTTCGATAATCTGATGTGATAAAATATATTCCAGCTATCCCTCCACTCAAACATTTGTAAACTAGGATCCGTTCACTGGAAGAAAGTGATCCTGTTTTAGGGCCTCAGTAAACCTCGGCAGCTAACATTTGAGTGTAATTATTTGAATAATGTTAGGGGTGGCATATTAAGTTTACGGAGCCTTTATTGCTGTTAGGTTGTAAAGACATTGAGAAAACACAGTAAAAGTAAACAAGGACAATAGGTATACTCCAGCATCGGATGCCTTCCAAAAACAAAAAACCCTGCGTGAAACACAGAAGATTATTAATTAGTGTACATTAGAACTGCTACATTTTCCACAATAATTATCTCCTGAAAACGTGAAATTACTTAATTTTGTAACATGTGCTGTTTGCATACTCACTTAGCATTTTCACGCAACAGCTCGCGATTTAAAAATAGTTTCAATTGTATCGAGGCCTTTAAATTTTATAGTTACTGCCAGTGTAATGAGTAATTATTGATTTAGGCCAAACGTGTTTTGTTTAGTCACAGTGGAGAAATTGTAGGTATATTGCTCGGTTTTAACAACATATATAAATTTAAATTTAGACAGCGTATGTTACAGATTTATTTACATACTAGAATCTCATTGTCATCAACAGTATTTATAATTTAACATAAAAATTAAAAATATTGACATATATCACACAAAAGGATTGTTATAACAAATTTTAGACTTATTTTTAACAAAGAACCTTGTTTTATACCATTTGTCCCAAATGATTAACTAAACTTGTTGAGTTTGCGAGCGGTTGCTGAACAGATACGTCTTAAATTAAATCATGTTATAATGGATAACCACAAAACTAGACAGTACAATAAGACTTCAAAGCAACACTCGTGAAATGCATCATAGTGTCAGTTGCATCCACGTATAGTTCCTATAACAACGGCTTTCAACATTTACCATAATCATTGGTTGAGTGATGGCTCGCAAATTGCACTTTTAATCAATCATACCTTATTCAATAAAATTACACAAATAAAATTAGTTCCCATCATAACAAAACGCAACTACTACTACTGCTACTACCACCAGTATTTTCCCTTGCATTAATATACTTCATGAGTGCTAAACAAATTGTCTCATCAATACTCCTTCCAATTTTGGCCGAGTTTTCTATAAATCCGTCAGCTTTGATTATCTTGGCGAGTCTCTGACCCTCTTTGACAGGAACTTTTCTTTCACTTTCGAGATCACATTTCGTTGCTGAAAAAAATACTTAATATTTACATTCCTCAATCTGAACACATACCAGCTAATATCAGTTTCGCTCTAGGACAACATCTCTTTAATTCCGGAGCCCATTTCTCCTTAACGTTATCCCAAGAATTAACGTCATTTACTGCGTAGCACAGTATAAAAACGTCCGTCTAGAACACATTTGTAGTAAGTAATGCGATTTGTTCGGTAAATAATGTGTGGTAATTTTACTTCCTTATACGCCAGTTGGCGGAGTTTGTCGAATTCTTCTTGTCCAGCTGTATCTTGTAATATCACGGTGTACTCTCTTTTATTTATTGGTACAGTCATCGAATAAACGTCAAACCTGCACACATAAAATGATGAAAAAAGAGTCTCAAGACAGAAATGACACACATACACTGTAGGAATATACCTTTCATCGAATTTTCTGTCTTTGTATACTATTAACATGCATGTCTTCCCTGTATCGCCATCACCAACAACTGTTATCCTAATCTGGTTTTTCATTATGTAGAATAATGGGCGTCGAGGGTGTCGTGAGTATCTAGCCTAAAATATGAACTCATGATTTATTACTCCTCAGATAATCCGTTAAATTTGACAGGAATTCTTGGTATTTTATGCAGCACTGATAAAGGATTATTAGATGTGTATGGGCGGCAAATGAATTTTTACGAACGTGCGGTTTTCGGCAAATGGAAAATTTTTGCTTTGTCATGAAATTAATGCAGCTACTAATTTTGTCACTTTGCTTTTTTAGGGGCTGTTGGAATATATTTTGCAATGAAAGTCATTTACAAAATTTAATTTTGTCCGCAATTTAGTTTCATTATTTTCCTATATTAAAAAGCGACCGTGATCACAAGCGGCAAATGAAATTAGAAAAACCGAAACGTAAATTACGAATCCAGATGGGGATTTTGATTATAATTATCGCTCATCTCCTACCTCTGTTCGTAGATTTTCCCATGTAAATAGTTACACTGATTTAAAAACTAAACGTGAACTAAAAAGTACTAGAAACATATTGTGGCAAATATTTTGAGAGCAATCGTAAAGCTACTTATGTCAAAAATTTTATTAGATTATTTATTTTAAATCTAATGATAAGATAAGAGTTGCTTAATACCGTCGCATGAATAGGTACGAACCGATGACACACGTATACCGGGTTAAAATAATGAACTATCAGTCCAATATAATTTGATTATCGATGATAAGCAAATAAAAACAATCGTCAAACGTACATTATTAAATATTGCTACATTTATTGCCTAAATTCTAGCACAGCCATTCTCTATAAATAAATTTTCTCATATTTACTGAATGACACAAGAACGCTCTTTAGCAACGAATTTTAATATCCTTTTCTTCAAGTCCTCAATTCCAGCAAGAGTCTTTGCTGAGCATTCCACATAAAAGAGAGCACCAATTTTCTTCTGAAACCTATTAATTTCGTCCCTGCTAATGCAGTTTGATTTGTTTTTACGAAGGTCGCTCTTAGTTCCTAAAATCTACTTATTAAAAATGTCAATTTTAGACGTTTTTTACCTAGGAGAATAATAGGGACATCACTGTATTCTTCCAAATCTGGGACCCACTTAGTTTCCATGTTTTCGTATGAAACTTTGTCATCAACAGCAAAACACAACAAAAATACATTTGCCTAAAAAGTTAGCTGTCATTGAACACAATAAATTAAAATTATTGCTTTAGCAACTTTACTTCTTTATAAGAAAGTTTTCTTATCATGGCAAATTCTTCCTGACCTGCTGTGTCTATGAACTTCAGTCTATATTGTTTACCATTTATTGTTTGAATCCATTCGAAATCGTCGTATCTAAAGGGTTTTGTGTTTAAAATTACAACTAAGAAATCTGAATTCGCAAGCAGCTATGATTTGTAACCTGAATTAACTCACACATGATTTAAATTTACAGCGGATCTGTTAGGATTTGTGAAGTGCTAGAATATTCTTCTGGTATTTCCCTAATCGCATGCATTAATTAACAACGCGGTTTCATGGTTGCGTGCGAATTTTATTTTGTTTGTACTTACACGTTAGGGATTTGTTCCTCAAATTTTTGTTCTTTTATTGAGTTCAATATGCTGGTCTTCCCCACATATCCATCTCCTATTATGACAATGTTCTTTTTGTTTTCCTCCATGACTTTAATGCTAAAAAATCTGTGCTAAGTGGGTGTTGAATTGCGATTATATTTTTGGGGTAACACTGTTTGATTTATTGGGTGCTTAGGAAGGCTTAAATACGAATGATGGAAGCGGCGACTAGAGCTTTCCAATTCATTTATTTCCCGTATTTACAAATTCAGATTAATTTGTATATTTCTGGAGCCCTCTCGACAGCCACCAACAAATCGTGGTGGACAAGAAATAGTTTCGACATGAATCTCAAAGCGATATTTTACAATTACAGCTACAACTCTTTTCAAGAGAACAAGGCTCATAGACGATAAATTACAAATGACCATAAAACAATGCGCTTTTCCTAGACCCATCTCCATTAACTAGAGATATTTATTTCTGTCTGTCATAAATCAGAACCGCCCAAAACTTGGGTCTAAATTTAATAAATCAGGGATTGCTTAATGAAAGAGATAGAATTAGAGGGAGGATTATTTACCTAATAAATTTAGAGTGACATTCGGGCAAAAAACTTGGGAGAACAATTCTTTCAAAAGTTTATACAAATAACTTGTCGAGAATGATTAGTTGCAGGTAAATAATATCAAATCTATGCACAAACCTTAGAGCAACACTACTAATTTATTTTTTCTCATCTTATCTGAGGCTTTACCACTTGCTGCCGTTAAGATAACAAAGATTAGAGCTATTTAAACGAGATCAAATACAGCGACATCTGTGAAGTGAACGTCAAACGTTCGTGCATGTAATTGCAATGTGTATTGGTAATCTTCCTGCGAATCCACGAGCGCCAACCTGATTTTCAGTAAGAAATCAATACTGCAGTTTTAACATTACAGGAAACTGCAAATACGACATCTGCTAACATGCTCTCTAACTATGACTCCAGTTTGCCAAAATGGAAACGATTATATTCGTTACTAGAAATCAGTAAACTCTAACATTACAGTGACGATGAAAATATTTAGTATTCTATATTATTGTTTTAAATAGATATTATTTACAATTCGATTTCGATTCTTTTTATTCACATAAAGTTAAGAACAGTGATTTATGTCATAAGAAGTCAATGAAAGGTCATATAATTAATCACATTCAATTTACAGTTTATCGATTCTCATCGTTTGCCTTTGAAATTGTTCTGTAAAGCTCTATTTCAGTGTATAGGTACATATTAATTGATGATAAATTTAGTCGGAAGCAGTAGCAATGAGCGTAGGTTTCAATAGTTTCCTAGATTTTGTATGTTGTGGTATCGTTCGTTTGTTTTATATTAATTCATTAGTTGTAAAAAGTTTCACTGCATTGAACCATAAATATTATTCAACTGTGTTCTAAAAAACAATAATTATTTGTAGAATATATTTGCCTTACATAATGCATATAAAAGAGGTATCACTTGCTACAAATGAGATGGCTCTAAATCTGTAACTTTTACCAGAAACTTTTATCATATGTCATTATAATAATATATTACAAAAGTTCTGCAAACAGTTTTAGGGAAATAAGATGGATATTTCAAGTTGCGACCATTTCTTTTTTGTATATTAAGAACCTGAACATTAAAACGGGTTTTGTTTCTTGGTTTCCTACATTGTTTTTTCTTCAAATTATTAAGTAGTAATAATAAGGGTACATTATATACTATATCATAGAAATTCTTATGGGTGACATTTTTATATGACAAAATTTTTAAAAGCTTATAATACTTACATGCAAATAAAGTTTTAATTTGTATAATATAAGAGTAATGACTAATGAACCTATGACAATAGTTAGAAATTTACATTAAAACATAAGATCTATGAAATATTTTACCACAGTTTAATTAAACGGATAATTTCCGAAACTGCTGGAGGCTGAAGTGATGTCTGTGACATTTTAGGAGTACGTTATAATTATTGTGTAGATGGTAAAACGCTAATTAAAATTTCATAATATCGCACAATGTTACCAAGTAATATCACTTGAAAATTATATTAAGTATGACACATGCCTCTACATTTGTGGTTTAGCAAAGTATCCTTACTTTTAAACCTTATGCGAACATAGGATCATAAAAACCAAAATTTGTAAAATGCAGTGTAACAATTCAGCTTTAAAGCTATATAACAATACTTTCTTTGTAACTGACAAGATCGAAACTTTAACTTAGTGATTACAGATAGTCTATTACAATTTACTTATCTATTAGAAATTTAATGGCGTCATTTTAAAATTTTATTAAGACAATTTCCCCAGAAACATACACACAGCGTTCTCGCTTACCACCTCTATTTTATTTTAACACATTAGAAGTTATCATACAAGTTTCCTGGCAGGACATTGTTTTCTGGATACAGAAAGTTGGATAATGTCATCTAATATCTTGTAGAAATGTAGTACATCTTCATTATTTTATTATTCTATACAATCATTAACAGGAACCACTTCGGCAATGATTCATAGAGTAAATGAAAATTGCATTTGCGAAAATTATACTCAGTCTCAGGTAGTAAAAATTCATCCTCGGAAGCAAGGACGATGCAGATCCTCGGACACAAATAGTTCATGTGATTTGGGCACCACACAAATGTTTTAACTATTAGTTGATAATGTTTACCACGGTTCAAATAATAGTCAGCTAAAACATTATGAAGACAAGTTGATGGAGATAATGTCGATCAGTGCGTTCTTAATTCTAAAATATTAAAATAGTCAAAGGAACGATAACCGTACAATTAATACAACGACATTAAAAACTCGAAAAACAACATAATGTTCACTGGGACATTGTGGTGGTGCAAACATAAAAATTCTATGAAAATTCCAAGAAATTTTAACCAAAGGGTGATCAAAAAGTTTTCAGATTAGTGTTGGCCATGGAAATATTTGTCATGTGTTTGAATAAACTGTAAAAGTCACACATAACCTTTAATGCATGACTTTTACATGACAAATATTTCCATGGCCAACTCAAATAAAATAATAGATAGAGTATCAGATATGTTTATATCTTCATAGGTAAGTCTGTAACATGCAGAAGTTTTGATGTGCTCAACTACGGCCAATTTAAGGTCACCACCTTTAGAAATATTAGTCAATTCTTGATTATGACTTTCCCTAAAAATTTGATACCTAGATACCTGAAATCATTCAAAATTAATAGAACGATTATTCGATCATGTTTCAGTAATACCTGTTAGGTACGTGAAGATTTGTTGAGTCGATAGAAGACAAATAGAATTTTCTTGTTTTTGTACATAGTCCACGTACGTTCTGATAGTAGGTAGCATAACAAAGATGAATTGACTTTGCAGGTGGAAATCGATTTAGAAGGCGACAAACAAATATCAGGCAAGGGTGATTGCTGTAACTGCTTTTTATCACTAAGTATAAGTCCTTTAAATTTTTGCAGTTGGTTTTTAGAAACAATTATGAATATCCCAAAGTTCACGATCCGAATTCTTTAAGGGATTCACATTACACATATTTTAAAGTGGTTACTTTACAGTCTTTCAACAAATCTGTTCCCATGTAGTTAGGACAGGTGGGGTTATTTTTATAACTCATATCGTCATATCGCATTGAAGAGATAAATGATTAAAGCCTGAACACATAAAAGAGCGCTGAACATTTATTGCATCCCAAACCGTACAGTTAATAGCCAATTAATACTTTACCAGCCTCTACACAATATTATTATGAGTGAAGATCCACTTGAATGCTTGGTTGTTTTAAATTATCATGATTCCGTCAACGGATTACATTTTAATTGTAATCGAGTTCATCAGGCGATTTGCTACTTTCATGTTTTCTCGAACTTTCATGACCTCTAAAATACAAAAAAGTGGGCTCTCGTTTCCGTCTGTCTGTCATCTGTGTCAAATTTTTATTAGACAGGTTATCTCCGAAACTATTTTACCGATTGTTCTCAAATTTTGTATGTATATTATATATATAAAAGGTCTCGTAGTCGAAGCATTGATTGGGTGGTTTGTTTTTTTTTCATCTTAAAGTGAGGCCCTTATTACAAAAATGATTAATTCTATTTTTTATTGATCAAATCTCAAGAACGGTACACCACAATGTTTTATTATTAGTATTAATTACACTGTACTACTGTCGGAATTGACATATGAGGCCTTGCTTAAATAATGCTGATCGGAGCATATTCAAATGTGAAAACTCGCTAGAACTACAGGCATAATCTTGTCCTTTATCAATGTATTTATATTTTTGAAGCAACTGTTAATCCGTTTCCAGAGACGTCTTGTTCTATGAGGCAAGGGAGGCAATGTCTCAGCAATGAATTTGCGCATAAAAGTAGTTTTTTTAGCAGACGTAAACACTCCTAGTGAGACGCACTGTGGACGTCCTTGCGGACCAGATCAAAACGTCCCCACTACTCGCCGTAAAACACACCTTCCTTCAACTGGAGGATTGCAGCAGTGAGATTTAATTCCGCGCACTACTTATGATATTTCAGCGTGCAGCACGTGCAATTGAGGTGCATTTTGTACTATTGCCTTAATATTAAAAACCAGAATATTCAAAATTATACCGCTGATTTTTTCTAATAAATCTGTATGTTCATCATTTATTCAAAATTTCATGAAAAAATGTTTGTACTAAAAGTTTCTATATTTGCGTGTATCAAGTTGGTACTTAAGTTTAATACGTGTAATAAATTTGAGGAATTCATGGGTTCGCTTTTAGAGATTTTTGCTCTTTTGTCACCTAGAATTTTCCTCGCAATAAAATTTTTGATTTCCAAAGAGTTCTCAACATATCCTTCGGCAACTGAAGAAGAATGCCAACCCCCATGTCTTTTTAACATTGACATATTGACCCCAACATCTGCTAACAGAGAAGCTGAACATCGACGAAAACAGTGGCTGGTAAATTCACTGAGATTAGAAAGGCACAGCAAACTTGCAATTTTTTTAGGTATTGCTCCTATGGTGTTGATACCAACCGGTTGTATATTACATTTTCCATTTCTGTAATAAAGAAAAAAGCGTTGATAATCAACATGTGCAGGAGGTAGGTTAGCATATTCGCGAAAAATTTCTAAAAAATGTATTCCATTAATATTTCCCTCAGTGATTGTAAACAGTCTTGAAATTTTGGTTTTTGTGATGGGAATGTTAATTTTTATAAAAAAAGTCAATACATCTTCAACGTCTTCTGTGCTTAAAAATATAAGTTCCTCTATTCTGCCAACAATTAATGCAACCTTAAATGTTAATAAAATAAATAATTTGTTAAAATTGCAAATAATCGTTTTACCTTCATCAGTCATATCAAGTGGTGGGGAATGTGAGTGCACAAACTTTTCTAGGCTCTGGGTCTGACCTCTAATTTGGTGAGTCTGTTCTGATTTTTATTCGGGAAAAGGCGCTTGATTGTGATCGGTTTGTGAGAGCATTGGTTGTCCCGGTTTTTTTACCGGGAATACTCCGCTGGT